TGACACAGCTGTGCCAGTAAAGCCAACGTAGAGAATTCCTCACCAACTTACAGGTAGTGTTTCGAGCATTCTGAGTAGCTATGTCCAGTGCCAGCAGAAGGGAGATGTTGTGGTTAGCAGAATGGTGCTGTTGTTACTAGAAATAAAGGGCTCACTGAACTTACCTGAGATGACATTAAAATGGGTCCTACAAGGCACGAGAAAAATGACTAACTGGAGCCTTCTGTACAGAGGCTCTTCTGTATCTGAAAAATGGCTCTGCTCAAGGCTCACCATGGGCAGTGGTACGCACGGCCTGTCTGAGCAACCAGGTAAGGCTGTGGGTTACACTGGATGGGAAAAAGCGGGTTTCTAATAATAGGAGGAAAATGAGCATCACTAAATTTTGAGTTACACCCCTAACTAGTGATTAAAATTGAGGCTCTCCTGTACCACCATAGCTTCTTGCTTTGGAGGTTGGGGCTTGAGCACTGCAAGAAAAGTGGAAGGTGTTGGTTCTACTTGTACTCTCTGAGTGCAGCTGCTGCTGTGGGATACCTAGAGCATGTAAGGCTTGATTTGACTGCTGACCTTCCCTGGAAGGGGGAGAACTTGGCTCATGCTAGCAGGAGCTGGCCTTCCGTGGGCTAGAGGAAGGTGGTCTCCTAAAGAGCTTCCTGGTTGTGTTGCTACAGTTGCACGTCACCAATAATATGCAAAGCACCTACAGGTCCTGTCTGGGTCACTTGGATTGTATACACCATGTTCTTGCTATTGATTTTTCTGAATCTCTGCCTTTCTTTTCCCTCCTTGCTTCAGAGGAATCCCAGGAAGGTGAGAAGTTAATGACAATCAGTTTCTTTTACTGAACTTGATTGACTTTTTCTGCTGCTTTTCTAAGAGCCGCTTTTCCTAACAGCTTAAATTCGTGTTTTAGGTGTTTTCCAAACTCTTTGAAGTCCTTAGACGCCGAACAATTCGCCATGCTCTTACATCAGTGCCGCGACAGCGACTCTCATCCAACAATAACAAGAAGAAAAACTAGCCAGTATTTTTAACTTTCTTTCTGTATCTGAAGTGTTCACACTTAACACATATAGGACAATAAGCTGGACCGTCTGGGCCGGTCTGCGTAAATGCTGTAACCATACCAGACTGATGCTGCATATAGGGTATGGAATTGCACATCCATCTTCTAGGAACTGTAAAGTGGTTTGAATTCAGTGAAATACTGCTGTATAGGAGGGATATCACTTGTGTTCATAGCATGTGGCTGACTTAACCTCATTACTGTAGCAGCAAAACTCATTTCTCTTTCAGTCATGCCAGTTTGTCTCAGACTTCAGCATTCTAAGGTTTTTTTTTTTTCATTACTTCAAGTCTCATCTCTTTGTGTGTTTTTTATATTTTATTTTCCTTGGTTACCTCATTTTTTTGTTTCTTTTGCACGTTTCTCATTCCACAGGTGTTGAAGCCCATGAGTGATAATTTGATGGAGGATCATATGAGGCAGTCTGTAAAAAACTCTATCAAAGCAGGCCTGACGGAGCAGGTGTCTCACCATGCCCGACTAAAGACAGACTGACAGTTCATCTCCTCTTCAACTCTGCCCTCTCATCTTAGACACGCTTGCTGTACCATGAGAACTCAATAATTAAAAAATAAATAAATAAAAATAAACCAAAGTTTACAATCAACTGTAGAAGTAGTTTAGTGTGACTGGCTTCACAGATTGCTGCCATCACCTGGGAAGCGTAAGTTTGTCAGTGCTCTGCTTCTAAGACAAGCTGGTGCCATGGAGACCGCTGGGGGTGGGAGGGAGGGTGTCTGTTTTACGTAGAGTCCTGGTGAACCGTGTACGTGTATGTTTGGGGGGGTGTGGGGGGGAGGGCTCTTCCCCCAGTGTTTGAGTTGACGCAGTCTCCGGCTTACGGTGGGAATCTGTCCTCTGTGGAGGTAATTTCAGGGAAGTGTAATGATCAGACCCACATAAGGTGTGCTCTCGCCAAATGTACCCAGCTCCACAACATCCCCTCGCCACCTCTAACGAGCGTTGCTATCGAGTGTATCAAGTCGGTGGAGCCATTAGAGCCACTACATCACAGTATGTATCTTGCTTTATTGCCTTTTATACCAGTGTTACACAAACGCATGTATTGGTTCCTCACGCTGCCGATGGCAGAACTGACTTGTGAGGGAGGCAGTGGGCCAGGGCGCAGGGTGTCTGGCCTCGACCCCGCAGACCTGGTCCCAAGGGAGGTGCATATCGGAATGAGCTGTCTCTTTCTGCAGTTTAGCCTTCATGTATATAATATTGCCATTAATTCTACTGGGGGAGAAATTCCATCCAAAAACGTTGCCTACAGCTACCAAGCAATGAGTTAGGATTGTCTGTACAGTGTGTTTAGTTTTTATTTTTTAAGAAATCACAGATAGGGCATGTATATGAAATATAAATATATAAATACAATTTTGTATCAAAGTTTTGTAGTTTATGGCAAAACCTGGTTCTGTGGTAGCTAAGTGCAGTCCCTGTAAAGGAATGTTTGTGGCTCATGTAAATGTGTGAATGCATCAACAATTTGGAGTTTTTTGATATATTTGTGATATTTACATGCCTTGAGCACTGCAATCTCTCACCCCTTTGGGAAAATCAATGGGAATGTTTGTTGTGAAACTCTTGTCTTCTGTTGCATTTTAAAGTTATTTCCTGTAATTTATTTTCAGTACATGATTAAAATCAGTTGTGTATATATGAAATGAAATCCGTGCTTATTTTTAAAAGATGTTTGAGTATGTATTCTGCTACATAAACTATGTCAAATACTTATCCTGACAATTATATGAACAAATTGTCTGTTGTACTTCATAGCCTTCTACTGAAGCTGATGTTCCTCTCACGCTTGTCTCTGAAAGACGACATCTGTCTGGCTCATAGCCCCTCCCTGTATAGGAAATCCTCCTGGTATTCTGAAGCTCGCTGCTTGACTTGTGGAGTTGCTTGTCAGCTTCTGCCCTCCAACAACTGTATCATTCTGGAATCTTGTTCACCCACTCTATTTTCACTCTTGACTAAATCGGTATTGACTAAGGCACTGTCAGATGTGTGGTGTAACGGCAGCTGAGTAATTAACTTTCAGCTGGAAACGACTGTGTGCAATAGCTGGTTATTTCGCATTTCTAAATTTCCATCGACATTTGAGCTTCATCAGTCTCCCCTCTCCTGAGTGAGGGAAATATCTGTCTAGGACTAAAGCAATTGCACTGTGACTTTTGTACCATAAAGAACTGCTGGGGAGTGGTGGTTACCTGCCCTCGGGAGAGGAGGGCTCAGCTCCAGGTGAATGATGCTGAAGATGAGGTAGGAATGTTGCATTTTATGATATCTTCTCTCAAACTGTACAGATTAAATACTGTTATTTAAACAATCTAATGCTTTGGTGATGAATCTCTTTATTAGTCAAATGACTAGGGTCACGTAGCGGGCTCGGAGGGCAATGCTTGCCTTTGCCTCTTGTCTTTTCCGGGAAGGTGTGAGTCAGGGTTGAGGCTGAGCTCGGCAGTGATGGTGAGAGCAGAACTCTGTCCAGGATGCGGACAGAGACTCCACCCTTCTAGCAGAGGACTGGAACAGGGCTCCTGAACACTCTGCCAAGAAGTTGCAGAATTAATGCAACCCCCTGCCCTCGACTGTGGGAGGGATCAAAGGTAGGAAAAGGGAAGGGCCAAGGTGATTTTGGGGAAAGAAACGATTAAAGGGGATGAAAGGGGCTGGTCACATGGCAACAGGTTGCTAGTGAGTGTTCTTGTCTGGCCACCTCTGTCCTGTTTTCTCTGTTAACTCGATTTCTCGCCCTCTTCCTGGGAGAGTAGGGTAAGGGGTCTGGGAGCCAGGTATCGTATCCAGCCTGGACTTAGGGCTGCTTCACATCTATTTATGAATGAGACAACTGGAGGCGCCAGGGGGGTCCAGGCTTAACCATGGCAGGGTCTGGGGTTCAGTGGGGACCATTTGTTTGCGTGTGCTTCCCTCTGCGAGAGACAACTGGAAGCAAAAGTGGCTCCAAGAGCTGGTTATGGGACAGACGTGTCTGAGGGCGTCCACAATGGGTGTGTGCAAGGGTAGGCTGAAACAGCAACTGGAGTGGGGCTGTGGGCTGCGTCCATGTCCCAGCTACTGCAGCAGACTGGAGATCCAGAGGCCAGCTACTGGATGAACGGTGCCTCCTTGCCCAGCTACAGCAGGGACACACAGCTTGCGTGCGCGTGTTGGTGTCCCACTAACAGACTTCATCCCTGTCAGCTGGTGAGGGACAGGGTGAGGATATTGGGGCTGTTTGTGCCAGTGCTCAAGGTCAACCTGTATGGGTGGTGCGAGCACACATGGGGGGTGGGTGTGTGCACCCACTGGGAATGCTGGCTCAGCCTTGCTGCTGGTTGCACATGGGGGCATGAAGGCTCCCCTCTATCAGGCAGCCCCTTACAACTAGTGGTCTTAGTAAAACAAAGCCAGTACTTCTTGACTTTTGCCTATGTACTGCTACGAACATAAGGATTGTCACTGAGCAGGTACAAGGGACCCAAGGGACTTTACTAGTTGAACACAGAGAGGCATTGAAGAGAGAAGGTGCTCACTTCCTCTATCCAGGGCTATTCTGCTACCAGCTCTGGAAAGGAGCTCTGAGAGCTGGTCCAGTTCTGTGCAAACTGGTGGTGGTGCTAAGGCCTTGCTTCCCCTCTCCTCCCTGAGCAAGCAAAAAAAACCCAATTTAACAGAAAAAGCATAGAGTAAAATACAGTGAATTACCCCACACTGGCAGTATAGCTCTGGCCACCTCTTGCCTCAAGAAGGATTCAGGAGAGCTGATTAGGAAAGCTACATGGAAGATACTATGGCTGGCAAAGTACAGCATGATGCTGAAGGGAGACTGGTTAGGTGCGATGACTGGGCAGCTGTAACAAGCTATAGCATCAGAAAGGGATGGAGAAGGCATCAAGATAAACAATAGCTGCTCTTACTGTTACGTCAGGACATGCTGGTTAGAACGTGTTCCTCCAGCTGGCATCGCGTTAAAGAAGTACTTGCCCTCACAAGCGTCTGCTCAAGTGTCCCTGGGTTCCTTGGGAGGTGAAATACTCATCCAAAGCCACAAGTGATGTGATTTCTGGCTCCAGAAAGGCATAAACAACAGAATGTTTTTTCTGGATATCTTGCAACTATTTTGTTCGAGCAGGCTGGGGACAGGCCAGAGATTTCTCCTGCAGAGGGCTGATCTTTAGAGTCAAGTTAAGGAAAGTAAAAGGTACATCGGGTAGCATGCCACAGCGATAATGAAAGGGTGGAGAACAGGAAGCCCTGTGTTTTATGAATCTAGATATACTGAGTGTCAAATGGTTTTTTGATTGTGCTAGCCAAGTATGGCAGTATCTCAAAACTCCCTGCCTGTTACTATCTGGGGTTAAAGTAATTAAGCACAGGTTATGGTAAAACTTCTTTTTTTTATTGAAAAACATGGGTGGGAGTAAAGACATTATTTACACAAGTTCCCAAGTGCAGATCAACTCAAGAACATATGATAAAAGGATGGGGGTCCAAAACAGAATTACGGAGACTACCAAACACGGACCTTCAGATAAGATCAGCAACTGAAATGAGAGGAAACGAGAGAATGTAAGTATGCACCAAGTGTGCCGAGAGCCACAGCCCAGCAGTACAACACACCAACTGCTGTTCCCACGATCGCCCCCAGGGGAAGCAAAGAGGGGTCAGGCTTGGGAACGAGGCATGTGGCAAAACAAAGCACCTGGCATTTCTCTTTCAGATGCAGCACACCAGTTCCCAACTGGAGAGGCAGCGGCCTCACTGGGGCTGGCCTGCACTCACCATTCATGGGCATCTCATCTATCTGGGTAGAGTAGTACTGCTCAATGTCTCGCAGGATGCGGATGTCATCATTCTTCACAAAGTTGATCGCTACACCTTTTCGGCCGTATCTGCCTGACCGTCCGATTCTGTGGGGGCAGAAGGAAAGAGAGAACGGAGCCACCTTGGGGAAGGGTAGCCCAGCCACACTCCCCCATGTGAAGGCTGAGCTTACCTGTGTATGTAGAGTTCTCTGTTGTTGGGTAAGTCGTAGTTAATGATCAGGGACACCTGAGGCACATCCAGGCCTCTAGCCCAAACATCTGTTGAAATAAGGACTCGGCTGCAAAGAGAAAGGGACAGTTATGGTTGTTCCACCCCACTGAAGTGGGTGTGAGAGCTGGGAAGTTGTAGTCTCCAGCACAGGGCATCCCCTGCTATTCTGTGCTCCTCCCTCCTCACAGCACACCAGTAGCATCCATGCTTCTGCTTCAAGGAAAGCTGTTCCATGCAGCATCACCCAACTTCAGTGAAGACAGACAATACCAAGACAGCTCTGATCTTTCAGAAAGAATATGATGCTCTTAGCTAAGAGTTAAAATACAGGACAGAACTCAAATATTTTTTTTCCCTTGACTTCTTTTAAGTGCAGCAACTCCCAACCTCTTCAGCAAAATAAAACAGACTAATTCTATGCCTCTAAGTATGAGCATCCCTTTTTGAAAAGTGGCAATCTCCCAACATCACAGGGGGACAGATGGGGATCAGAGCTCTTCCTAATTTGAGCTGAACAAGGAGAGGTTTTATGGGTTTCTGCGGCACGTGCTCTTCAGACACTGGAAGAAATCCTGCCCAGAGGTAGCAACGCTGTAAGCAACGCTGTTTAAGGCATTTACCTTGCGCCAGATCTGAACTCTTTCATAATGGACTCTCTCTCCTTCTGTGGCATGTCCCCATGCATGGATGAAACGGTGAAGTTGGCTTCTCTCATCTTCTCTGTGAGCCAGTCCACCTGTGCATACAGCCAAGCAGCCTGGGTTAGCGCTTTCCTCAGGACAGCCAAATGTGCTAGCTGTGCTTGGAGAATGTTTGCAGAGACATATGCTGGTACGGACTGACAGACACTTTAACAAGCACTCTGGAGCTAAAGTAAATAATCCTTACAAAGCATCAATCGGCTATATGACACAGAGCTCCACGAGCCCTGAAAGGAATTAAGGGTATTTATTCAGAAAGTATGGTTTTGTTTCAGGGATTATAAGCAATTAGAAGAACAAGCACATTCTTACCTACTCAGTTCTACTTCTCTGAAAAGCCAACTGTACCAGGTCTGCCTGGCACATCCCAAAGACAAATGTTTAACTTCTACTCTTACTGAACTATTCCCAAGCGGGGAAACAGCCAGACCTCTTAACTGGGTTTGTCCCAGCATTCTCCTCTGAAAGTACTGTGCCCGTCTGATGACAGCTGTACCTTTCTCTTGGTGTTACAGAAGATGACAGCCTGGGTGATTGTGAGTGTGTCGTAGAGATCGCACAAGGTGTCAAACTTCCATTCTTCCCTCTCCACAGCCACGAAAAACTGCTTGATTCCTTCAAGGGTCAATTCATCACTGTAGGGAAGAACAACAGCTATACCACACCACAAGTAGGTGAAAACATAGAATGCAGTTAGAAGGGTCAGCAGACATCACACCTCTGCGCTGTGGGTTGCTGGGTCTAATCACAAGTCCAAGTTGCTCTAGAAAGTCCCTGGAGAAGCCTGCTCTAAGAAGGACCTCCAATGCGACCCATGCAAGAGACCAGAACTCCTGGGGTACCCTCTCTGCTCTAGACAGACAGTTTCAAAGGGAAACATTTCTGTTCTCATTATTTTTACATTCAAGCTTCTTGACAAGAGTCTGAAGAAAGGCAAATTGGGCAGTGTAAGAGATCAGGCAAGAGGGAGGTTCCTCCTGTCAGGTTGCCTACACTTGACTCCTGCTGAGTTCCAGTGCACAAAGACCTGTGACACCACCAGACGCTTCCAAGGGCATTCAGGACCAGTCAGCGAAAGGCTTTCTTGGCTTGCTATATAATAGCAAATTAATGGAGGAGGCCTATGAAAATTCTCTGGAGGAGCACAAGAATTGGGTAGGTGTGAAAGATGGATTTCCAGAAGAGACTGCTATGTATGGGGAAGATGAGGGGGTGGGGGGCAGTCAGGTTAAGCAGCAGCAAACAGAACTGGATGAGTATAAAGTCAGAGAGAGGAGTCAGCCTCTGATGGAAAACAGGACATGAGGATGTCTGCAAACAGCCAGACAAGCCACAATAGTGAGAAAGAATGTGAGAGACTCTGCACATTTAAATCAGTTAATACAGTGAACTGCCCAGGGCTGGACCAACTCAAAGAGCTCCTGTTCTTTCCAAGGAAACTCACCGTTTCACCAAGATGCGAATAGGGTCTGTCATGAATTTGTTGGTCATCTCTAGAATTTCATGAGGTAATGTGGCACTGATCAGAACCACCTGTGTAGCTGGAGGCAAGTATCTGTACACATCATAAATCTGCTCCTTGAAACCTGAAAAGCAAATCAAGTAGCACAGAACAGTTAAGCACATCTTTCTCCTGAATATCCTGCTCTTTCACAATTTGATCCGGAATTCAGTATTGGGTCTATGCTATGAAATGAACATTAATGAGTGAATCAGTAACTCAAAGCCAGTGTCACATACTGCTCATCTCTTCTTAATTTTCCCAAACCCACTACAATGTGGCCATGGTACACAGTAAAGTATGAAAGGTAGTGCACAAGAATTTTTAATTATTGAAAAGGACACTATGACTAAACCAGACAAGGCATATTCAGTAAGTAGGCTGTAACAGGTTAAACTATAATTAACTATAGTTGTCTAACTTTGACATAAACAGTTTTTAGAAGGGTGACTGCCAGCTGGGACACCCTGGAATCTCAAAGAGGTGAGAAGAAGGGAAGTAAAAGGGAGGCAAATATTTTACCTTTATTGAGCATTTCATCTGCTTCATCCAGAACCAGCATTTTGATGGCACGAGTCCTTAAACTTCGACGACGAATCATATCTGTAAGATTTCACTTTGTAAGATGAAAAGGCTCTGGAAGCAAGCGAGCCTACACTGCTCCCTGCCATTGTCAGGGCATTTTGGTGCAGGAGGGACAGACGCTTCCCCTGTTGCCAACAGAGCCTGGTGTTTGGTGACAGAAGGCACATCCAAGGGCCACAGCATGCCCACTGCACCCTGCAAGCTCAGGGGACGTCTCTGCAGCCCAGCTAAGGGAGCACTGACTGCAGGGAAGCTCTGAGAGTCCAAGTCGTGGGATGCTATTTGCTAACTGCACAGGATGGGTGACCCAGTCACCCACAGTAACCGCAGCTGGATGCGAGAAACGCAAAATGCTGCATGAACTTTTCATTAACAGGCTGGGCAAATCCTCATCCTTTTGTTTGAAAGAGCATATGGCTTTGTGTAACCCCTTAATACTGCAACAGAAAACCATTTGCTATTAGTGTGCTGTTCAAAGCTAGCCCAGTTCAGCAGCTGCTAATTTTTTTGTTTTTTTTTTTTCGCTTGTGGAGCTCTATGTTCTCCCAGTGACAGGTGCTTGTGTGTCCTGGTTTTGGCTGGGATAGTTAATTTTCTTCCTAGTAGCTTGCATAGTCCTGTGTTTTGGATTCAGTACTAGAAGAATGTTGACAACACACTGATGCTTTCGTTGTTGCTGAGCAGGGGCACAGCCAGGACAGCTGACCCCAACTGGCCAAAGGGCTATTCCAGACCATAGGACGTCATGCTCGGGGGAAGTTGGCCAGGGCAGGGAGAGTGATCACTGCTCAGGATGGGCTGGGTCAGCGGGTGGTGAGCAATTGCATTGAGCATCACTTGTTTTGTATATTTTGTATATTCTATTACCATTATTATTATTATTCTTTTATTAAACTGCCTTTATGTCAACCCATGGCTTTTAATTTTTTTTTTTTTGATTCTCTCCCCTATCTCACTGAGGAGGTGGGGACTGAGCGAGTGGCTGGGTGGTGTTCAGCTGCCTGCCAGGTTAAACCGTGGCAGTCCTTTTTGGTGCCCAATGTGGGGCCTGAAGGATTGAGATAATGACAGATCTGACCAGAGCATGTTAAAATGAATTTGTGATAAGCATTCATTATATTCGTGTAATAGCCACTGGTTGCAACGTTGTTTTATTTGCTCTCAAGAGTTGTGCTATGTAACACCTTACCTGCTGTATGCACTCCCTGTGGTGCTGGTTATCCCCTACAGCAGGTGTATTAAGGCTAACACTTTGCTGCACTGTCTAATACTGGCTTATGCTATGATAAAATTATTGGTCATGAGATCAACTTCTTATTTGTATTCAGCATGTCCTTCACCTCTGCATTTTGGAGCCATCTATTTGGAATTATTAATAATTATACTTTTTACTTTTTCTCCTCGGAGAACCAACCTACAGGGGAGACACCTTACTCCATCTTCCCCTTCTTCTCCAGGCTAATTACGACAGCTCTTGAGAATTTTGAATATCCTTGGGATGTTCAGACCAGTATGTTCGTATTGCTATATCTCCTGAATGTGGTTCAGGTTTTACTCAGGGTTAAACAATTACTTAAGAATACTATCCAAAGATCAGCTCCGGCGACAGGCACTGTAGCTACTCAAACTCCCGCAGCATTGCAGCTACTCCAATCCTGGCAACATGCATTGTAGCTACTCAAACCCTGGTGACAGGCACTGCAGCTACTCCAACTTCCACAACAGGCACTGTGGCCATTCAAACCCTGGTCACAGGCGTTGTGGCTGAACCAGGGAACCAACCTGTGCTGGTATCAGTTGCCCCTATACACAAGAAGAAATCTTAGAACTGAAAATCAGCTTATTTAGAAAAGGAGGATGAAAAAATAGGGCCATCACAAGTAGAGGAGGAGGAGGAGGAACTCATAAATGAGACAGAACCACCTGATCCCTATCCTTGAATGAGCTGCGAGATACGCAAAAAGATTTCAGCCATCATCCAGGCGAGCACACTGTCACCTGGCTGCTCTGATGCTGGGATAATGGGGCTAATAGCCCGGAACTACAGGGTAAGGAAGCCAAGCAGCTGGGATCCCTTTCTAGGGAAGAGGGCATTGACAAAGCAATTGGAAAAGGGGCACAAGTCCTCAGCCTCTGGAGGCGACTCCTGTCAGCCATGAAGGAAAGGTATCCCTTCAAGGAAGATATATATCGCCCAGGCAAATGGACCACCTTGGAGACAGGCATCCAGTACCTGAGGGCATTAGCTGTCCTGGAGGTGATTTATAGCGACCTGAACAATGAGCAGTTACCCAAAGATCCAGATGGGTCTGGTGCGCATGACCCATATGGCAGAAGTGCACCAGCATCATATGCCAACTCATTGGCAATACTGAACTGGAAAGGTGAAGTGAACTGATGGTGGATGAAGTTGCTAGCCTACTCCAGGAATATGAAGAAAGTATCTCTTCCTCCTTCATCAATGTTGTGGAAAAACTGCCCTAGGAGGTCCAGCAACTGAAAGAGGGTATGTCCTACTCCCCACCTGTATGGACCAGTATATCTCAGCCATTAGGAGTAAGCGTCCCTCTACTCAAGAAAAAGGATATCGAGGGTACACACCACTGGGCACCCTACGATTTTACCTGTGTGACCATGGAGAGGACATGAGGAAATCGGATGGAAAACCTACCTTGACCCTAGAGGCACAGGTATGCAAGTTGCAAAGAAAAACAATCACAAAAGGGGGCTCTTCCAGGAAACTTACTGCTCCAATTTCCAGAGACGGAGTAGATTGCAGTTTTTTCAGACAGAATAGAAAGGCTGATCTTATTTCTGATTGTGGTGAAGGAACTCCTGACTCATATATACAAAACATGAGCAACTGTGACCAAGACTAGAGGGGCCCTCTGGCCAGGTGGAGGAAAAGGACAACCGTGTTTACTGGACTGTGTGGATTTGATGGCCTGGCACCAGACCCACAGGAGTATCAAGCTCTAGTGGACACCAGTGTACAGTGTACCCTAATGCCATCAAGTTATACATGGGCAGAACCATCTGTATTTCTGGAGTGACAGGAGGATCTCAACAGCTAACTGTATTGGAGGCTTAAGCGAGCCTAACCGGGAATGAGTGGCAAAAGCCCCCCATTGTGACTGGCTCAGAAGCTCCACGCATCCTTGGCATAGACTACCTCAGGAGAGGGTATTTCAAGGACCAAAAAGGGTACCAGTGGGCTTTTGGTATAGCTGCCTTGGAGGCAGAAGAAATTAGAGCAGCTGTCTACCCTGCCCAGTCTCTCGAAGGACCCTTCAGTTGTGGGGTTGCTGAGGGTTGAAGAACAGGTGCTGACTGCCACCACAACAGTGCACTGGTAGCAATATTGTACCAACCGAGACTCCCTGATTCCCATCCATAAGCAGATTCATCAACTGGAGAGCCAAGGAATGATCAGCAAGACTTGCTCACCCTTCAACAGTCCCATATGGCCAGTGCAAAAATCTAATGGAGACTGGAGACTGACAGTAGACTATTGTGGCCTGAATGAAGTCACGCCATCGCTGAGTGCTGCTGTGCCAGACGTGCTAGAACTTCAGTAAGAACTGGAGTCAAAGGCAGCCAAGTGGTATGCCACAATTCGTATCACTAATGTGTTTTTCTCAATCCCTTTGGCAGCAGAGTGCAGGGCAGTTTGCTTTCACTTGGAGGGGTATCCAGTACACCTGGAATTGATTGTCCCATGGGTGGAAATGCAGCCCTACCATTTGCCATGGACTGATCCAGACTGCACTGGAACAGGGTAAGACTCCAGAACACCTACAATACATTGATGATATCATTGTGTGAGGCAATACAGCAGAAGTTTTCAAGAAAGGGAAGAAAATGGTCCAAATCCTTCTGAAGGCCAGTTTTGCCATAAACCAAAGTAAGGTCAAGGGACCTGCACAGGAGATCCAGTTTTTATGAATAAAATGGCAAGATGGACGTCATCAAATTCCAATGGACATGATCAACAAAATAACAGCCATGTCTCTATCAACTAGCAAAAAGGAAAGACAAGCTTTCTTGGGCGTTGTGAGTTTTTGGAGAATGCATATCCCAAATTACAGCCTGATAGTAAGCCCTCTCTATCAATTGATCTGGAAGAATGATTTCAAATGGGGCCTTGAGCTACAACAAGCCTTTGAACAAATTAAACAGGAGATAGTTCATGCAGTAGCCCTTGGGCTGATCTGGGCAAGGCAAGATGTAAAAAACGTGCTCTACACTTCAGCCAGGGAGAATGGCCCTACCTGGAGCCTGTGGCAGAAAGCACCAGCAGAGGCTCGAGGCCGACCCCTATGGTTTTGGAGTCAGGGATAGAGAAGATCCGAGGCCCGCTATACTCCAACTGGAAGAGAGATATTGGCAGCATATGAAGGCATTCAAGCTGCTTCAGAAGTGAGTGGTACTGAAGCACAGCTCCTCCTAGCATCCTAACTGCCGGTGCTGGGCTGGATGTTCAAAAGGAAGGTCTCCTCTACACATCATACAACTGATACTATGTGGAGTAAGTGGGTCGCACTGATTATACAGCAAGCTCGAATAGGAAACCCCAGTCGCCCAGGAATCTTGGAAGTGATCATGGACTGACCAGAAGGTAAAGAACGTGGAATATTGCCAGAGGAAGAGGTGGCATGTGCTGAAGAGGCCCCACTGTACAATAAACTGCCAGAAAATGAGAAACAATATGCCCTGTTCACTGATGGGTCCTGCTGTCTTGTGGGAAAGCATCAGAGGTGAAAGGCTGCTGTATGGAGTCCCATACGACAAGTCGCAGAAACTGCTGAAGGAGAAAGTGAATTGAGTCAGTTTGCAGAGGTGGAAGCCATTCAGCTGGCTTTAGATATTGCTGAATGAGAAAAATGGCCAGTGCTCTATCTCTATACTGACTCAGGGATGGTGGCAAATACCCTGGGGGGTGGTTGCAGCAATGGAAGCAGAGCAGTTGGCAGCGCAGAGGCAACCCCATCTGGGCTGCCACACTGTGGCAAGATATTGCTGCCTAGGTAGAGAACTTGGTTGTAAAAGTACGTCATATAGATGCTCAAGAACCCAAGAACTGGGGCACTGAAGAACGTCAAAACAACCAGCAGGTGGATCAAGCTGTTAAGATTGAAGTGGCTAAGGTGGATCTGGACTGGCAACATAAGGCTGAACTACTTCTAGCTCAGTGGGTCCATGACACCTCAGGCCCTCAAGGAAGAGATGCAACATACAGACGGGCTCATAATCGAGGGGTGGACTTGACCATGGACACTATTGCACAGGTTATCCATGAATGTGAAACATGTGCTGAAATCAAACAAGCCAAGCAGTTAAAGCCTCTCTGGTATGGAGGATGGTGGCTGAAATATAAATATGAAGAGGCCTGGCAGATCTGGCAGATCGATTATATCACCCTCCCACAACCCCGCCATGGCAAGCGCTATGTGCTCACCGTGGTGGAAGCAACCACCGGATGGCTGGAAACATACCCTGGTGCCCCATGCCACTGCTCGGAACACTATCCTGGGCCTTGAAAAGCAAGTCCTATGGCAGACATGGCACCCCAGAAAGAACTGAGTCAGACAACGGGACTCATTTCCGAAACAACCTCATAGACAAATGGGCCAAAAAGCATGGCATCAGGTGGGTATATCACATCCTCTATCACGCACCAGCCTCCAGGAAAACTGAATGATACAATGGACTGTTAAGACTACACTGAGAGCAATGGGTGGTAGAATGCTCAAACACTGGGATACGCATTTAGCAAAAGCCACCTGGTTAGTCAACACTAGAGGATCTACCAACTGAGCTGGCCCTGCTCAATCAAACCTCTTACGTACTGTAGAGGGGGATAAAGTCCCTGTAGTGCATGTAAAAGATATGCTGGGAAGAGTCTGGGTTATTCCTGCTTCAGGCAAAGGCAAGCCCATTTGTGGGATTGCTTTTGCTCAAGGACCTGGGTGCACTTGGTGGATGATGCAGAAGGATGGGGAAGTCCAATGTGTACCTCAAGGGGATTTGATTTTGGGTGAAAATAGCCAATGAACTGAACTGTATGATGTTAATTGCTGTATAATACTATATATCATAATTATAATGATTGCTATATGTCATATCAACAGTATTACATCACTTGTTTTGTATATTTTGTATATTCTATTACCATTATTATTGTTATTCTTTTATTAAACTGTCTTTATCTCAACCCATGGGTTTTACATTTTTTTCTGGATTCTCTCTCCCATCCCACTGAGGCTGTGTCGTGTTCAGCTACCTGCCTATGGGTTAAACCACAACACTGTGTAAGAAAGTGCTCCTATTTCTCAGAGATCCAGAAGACGTGAGCTTGAAGGCTAACACTATCACTGTGGTAACTGCCATGAACAGTAAATATAAAAATCTTCACGCAATGAAACCAGAAAGTACCAGCTGCAAGCGCACCTGATTTAACAAAGAGAGAGTGATGGCCAGTGCACAGAAAATGTGGACCTAACTTTGATATTCAGATAGACCCAGCTCCTATCTCCTCCAAGATTCTGAAGTATTTCCTGGGACTGTAATATTTTCTGTTTAAAAAATACTCTTTGTTCCCATGCTGCCATATAAACACTTGGACAATAAAAAGCAAAATACAAACAGAGAAGATCTAAATACTACCCCTGTTGATTTCTCTCTAGTCTTTTCTAGCTATTACTACAGGAAGCTGTTACCTTGTCATACTTAATGTTAAATTCATGGTGTCATGATAAATGTAAATTTCACGCTATTTCAAATCTAAGCGCACAAATGTTGCACAAGAATCCCAGGCTCAACTCAGGTCTGAACCTGGAGGTGATGTAGCCTCCCACATTTCCTTACCAAACACACGGCCTGGAGTGCCAGCCACAACATGTTGCCCATAATCCAGTTTTCGGATATCTTCGCCCACGTTGGTCCCCCCAATGCAGGCATGACACTGGACATTCATGTAGTCCCCCAGAGCAAGAAGACCCTGTGTTGATACAAAGGAATGGATTAATTAACTGAGCTCTCACGAAGTTTGTATTTGTGAAGAGATGCAGGTCTGCATAGCCATACGGTGGGTTTTTGAGAGAGATAAAACCAAAAGCAGTTAGAGGGATTTTTTTCTTTATGTCTGTTACCCAAGCCTCCTCAACAGCAGGCTTTCAAACACTGGGAACTCAGTTCCCCAGGGATCACAAGTGCTGTCCTTAAAAGTTTAGCGAGGAGTGCATAAAACCTTAAGACTGCTAGCCAACATAGTCATGTAAGCAAGAACGGATATAAGGCAGATGAGCAAAACAGCCCTTTATCAGAATTTGTTATTCCTTTCAGGAACAGAAAGAAAACAGATGCCGTGCTTTGAGCTGCACCGGGGAACACCTGAGAATCGGCACCAGGCCTTGTGAGTACTTTACAGATGGCGATTTAAATGCTCCTACCTTCTGAATCTGTACAGCCAGCTCCCGAGTTGGTGCCAAGATCAATGCCTGGGTCTCACGAACCTGATTAAAAAAGGTGATCACATGGCAGTTAATCAAAGGGCAGGTATCATCCAAGCATAACAGAGGCTATGGATCCCACAGTACTCTGAAATGTCTGATCTGAAGGATTAATCATAGAATTTTGTGCTAAAACCTAGTGTTTTCAAGGGTTAGTACACCTAGAAAACTGCTCTCACACAGAGTGTTTACACTTAATTAAGTTACTTTTGACAAAACAGCACTTAAGCGGTTCTTTGATAGTTCATTTTTCATTCCAACCTAAATTCTGAAAACAATTACAAAAACGTGTACTTTTCTTGCAAAAGAATAGAAACTAATTCAAAACAGGTAACTTTTAATTTCATATGTTCAGTTTAGATAAAAACCTTGCATTGCACAAGGATTCCAAAATAATGTTTCAAAGTGTCACATTTGAAAAATATTATGAGTACTTTACAGAAATTAAGCATAAAGGTGACCTTTTAATTTTGAACATGCAATATTTATTTTTATGTCCCCAGGCAGTGACAGGCGAGTAACAATTTAAGCTCTGTTTAAAAGGGTACTGGCCCACAAAAAATCATTATTTTATTCAACAGCATCTACACATTCAGGTTATACTTAAAAAGCAATCGGATGGACACAGTACGTCTGACTAGAACAAAAGCAAACATTTGTCAAAACCCTTTGATTCTGAGCAATGCGCGCCGATGTTCAGACAGGTTGCTGATGCTATTAGGACTGTTTGAGGACAATTCTGCCTGCTGAGAAATTAATTTAGCCTTCTAATAAGTATGTGAACGAGGTCAGCTGTTAAAGTCAACTTCGTAATTACAAGACTTGATCTGAGCTTATTTTGCCAAAGTGGGTTTTACAGTTAAATTGTTACAGAGTGGAGTCTGGTGAAATTTTCAGTCAGTAGTTTGTCTGAAGTTCACTGCTTACAATTTAAAAATTTCAATGTAAAGCTTCATTTATTCAAGCTACAAATGAAGGCTTTTATGATGAAGACTCTATTGATTTAGTTAAAAAACATATTTAGCATGTGCTACGAAATTACCTGTATATCCAGGCACTGCAGAACAGAGATGGAGAACGTTGCTGTCTTCCCTGTTCCTGACTGTGACCTGAGAAACAGATGTTTAGTGAATACTCTGGATGTCTGGACAAGTAATATAAGCAATTTTAATATATTCCACCCCTCTGCTTTTTGCCACTCCTTCATTGCAAAGAAGTCAATATTACTAACTGTATTTGACAAAGTTTGGTTTGATCGCAGCGTGACCTGCAGTCTTTGAGAACAGCTTTAAGAACTGCAATATCAGGGACAGCGCATGCTGTTGCACGGCCCCCAGCTCTGGCAGGTTTACTCCTTACCAGACTTTTGCTATTTGTCATACATTTTTTTTTTTTCTTTTAAAGTAAATGGTAGATAAGCCCATTTGGAAGGCTAGCAATTCCCACTAGTGACCTAGAAAGGATGTTTTTCAGTGGGATGCATATCCATCTTTGTCTCTAGAGACATAACAGATTTTCTTCCGCTTGCTTTTTCCCTTGACTGAGACCGTAGTTGTCTCTATACTTCCCTGGCTTTGCTGCAAAACATTCCCAAGAGTCTCAGAGCCCTATTCATTGAGCAAACACAGTATCTTGGCTGAATCTTTATTACAGTTCCATACCTAAACCTAACAAACTTAGACTATGATCTTAACAGTTGTTACGTCATTATTACAGTTCCATACCTAAACCTAACAAACTTTGACGTTAACAACTGTTAAGATCACAGTCTATGTGCAAGTTAGCCAATTTCACCCTGTTTCGCTCATGATGTGACTTCCCTAATTCTGCCAAACAGCAGCCGAGGACCACGGGTGCCAGATCTCGCTTCCAGCTTCACGCAGCGAGCGTGACTGAGACCCCCCGCGCCCGGGGCCTGCAACCCCCTCAGGGCACACGCCTGGCCCACCCGCGAGCAGGCCGCGTCCTCGCCCCCTCGCCAGCAGCCCCACTTACTGGGCGATCACGTCTCTCCCCTTGATGATCTGCTTGATGGCTCTCTGCTGGATGGCCGAGGGCTTCTCAAAACCTGCGGAGGCGGCCGTTACT